TACAATGACATTCCAATGCAGTCTAACTCTATATATACAGATGCTATCTGGATGGAAAACTAAAAAGGGACAGTGCCTCTTTAAATTGCTAAAGTGTGACTGCTGGAGTTTTGAGCTTATATTAAACGTTCCAGGACACCTTATAACATAAATATCTGCAAAAAAGAATTCTAGATATTTTAAACCATGTTGCACACTGATTGGCTAGATAGTGTGTGCATCACGCACAGCAGCATCTAAGGACAATGATAATGTTGCCATGGAGACAGGGAGACACAATACCTTTCCGATGTTTACATCAATGACTTGTTTCCATGGAAACAAATGGATGCTACACAAATATTAATGAAAGCCAGGCTGGAATCCTGTGATTTGTATAGAAATCTTTTTTAAGGGCGTTGGCTAAAGCAGCTTTTCTAAACTAAAATGAGTTCACCATTTGTACAAGACAAATTAAAAAAATAGAACTATTCCAGTCAAAAATTATACGATGGAATAATATGTTTTTTGCTTGTTTTTTGTTTTTTTATTTGTGTTTTGTTTTAATTTAAAATCCACATCAAACATTAATACCGCACCAGTCATACATTTAAAATATCAGGCTGCCAGAGGAGTTCAATATACTCGGGTTCTGCTGAGGTTTTTTAAGTCTTCTAATACAGACATTTCTGCCAGCAATCTGAACAGATATATTTTCTGAATATACCAGATTATTCAATAAATTAAAAAAATAGCTATATTGACCTCAAAGTTTACTTTTATTGGTAAATCCCGGGAAAATATGTGGTTTTGAGATCAATTGTACTAGGCAGGCTACCACACATGGACAAGGACCACTAAATTCTCTCCTGGCTGGTGAGAATATTTCTTAAAAAGTAGGAGGTTGAGTCCAATGAACTACTAATGAAAGCGGGGATGCCTAACCTTAACCTTTCAGAAGCTGTGAGCTAGTAACCAAACAACTGGGGAGAGATTAAACACTATAATACTTCCCACAGTATAAATAGACTCTACAATTCCTATATGTTTATCCTGAACAGCCGAAGAGATGCAACTGATCACCGCTTGTATGAAGCCGTTGCATCACTATCACACATAACTAAGACAGCCCAGAACGCTGCTATAGACTGACTAATGCTAAAGCTGTGCAAAAATTGTGTCTGTCATCTGCACAACAGCTGGGAGCGTGCCTGTATGGGGAAACCTATCTATCCCCTCCGTCCTTTCCATCAGTTCTACACACCTCCAAACAATACTAAACATGCGTAAGGTTTCTCATACGTTTATTAATGCTCTCTCTCCCTACTTTCTTTTTTTTTTGTAAATATCTGTTTATTGAGAAAATCTTTTTCCAAATTTTCAGAGAAAATGCAGGTGGTGAGGATGAGGAAACATGCAGGTTTCAAATATGAGTGATAACATCTGGCAAATTGAGATACGCAGATTTTACATGAATAAGCAGAGCTGAGATATGCAGGTCCCACAGTGAGAGTAGGTTCACAGCATATGGGACTAGAGGAGTGTGAGGTTTTGTTGGGAGAACATGCAGGTCCCTTTTTGCGGGTGTATGATGGACTCACAAATTGAAATCATGGAGGAGATAACAGCCTCCTTATACCAGAGTCCGGAGCGCTATCACTCCACTTGGGCCCCATGGATGGGATACCTGAAAGTGGGTCACCACGAGAGCAGGGAGGAGCATGGGCTCTGGAGCCATGAAGTTGAGTGGTAGTCCCTTTCCTGTCTATTGATTCCTCTTATTCTTTGCTCTTTGCCTTTGCTGTCTCTTCCCCCTCTTTCTTTTCTCTTCTACCTCGGACATTTTTGCTGATGTGCCTATGTATTTGTTTGTGACTTGACAAAAATAAATCTTAAATAAGGATTGACTATAAAAAAAAGAAAAGAAAAAAAAAAAGAAAATACTAGTGGACAATAGAGCACGTTTATTAACAGTATTTTGTATTTATGTTGGTCTTTATGGCAGCATCACTACTTAGAAATGCGTGTTCTCTGTCTGCCCCCAATTCCTGTTTTTCGCTTTAGATTTGGAATCCAGACAAGATTCCTGTTGGGCTGAGCACCCCACCCATACACTATGGGTTCCCCTTTGTAGGCGGACACAGGACAGCATAAACTGAAGAGTCTGTTGAAGCAGTTGAAGCTGTAAGTATTACGTTAATCTCCAATGTTAAATTAAGTGTAGGGCCCACCGATATTGGAGTACTGTGGCGTCCGGGTGGGCTTAACACAATATGGCCATATGGTAGAACTGAATCCCTGTATTTGTTTGCTAAGAGAGAGGGTTTTAAGTAGCCTCATAAAATGTAAAACTGTATATTTGTTTGTGTGTGTGTTTTTTGTGTGTTCTTTAATCTGTATTTTGTATTTATTTTGTGCTTTATGGCAGCACCACTACTTAGAAATGCATGTTCTGGGTGTGCCCCCAATTCCCATTTTTTCTTTTACCCCCTACCATGGTCCGTGCTACATGCTGTGACCAGCAGGAGGGGAGCGCCATGCTGTGCGCTCCCCTCCTGACGGGCATGGGATCCCCGGCCCGGCGAGCGCTAAGGCAGACCCTGTGCCACCTTATAGTAGCGCAGCAGTGCATCAATTTATTTTGTTTTGTTTTTTGCATTGATTAACTATTCAATTAATTTTGAATTCAGATGATTAATTCCTTAAAGGGATACTGTAGTTCCAGGAATACAAAAGCCTTCCCCCTCCCTCCCTCCCACTCCTCCCCCTGGGTAAATAAAGGGTTAAATCCCTTTTCTTTTCTTTTTTTTAACTTACCTGACCCGGCGCTGTTGTCCCTCAGCGCTGGGTCAAAGCTCTTCCCCCTCAGACATCCCGTGATGAGTGCAGTCTAAAGTCTAAATCTGACGCTGAAGGTCCTCATGCAGAGCAGATAACGGACCAAAAGTCTGTTACGATTCCGGATGCGCCCCTAGTAGCTGTTTGTTAGACAGCTACTGAGGGCAGACTTAGTGTAGCAATGTAAACATTGCAGTTCTCTTAAACTGCAATGTTTTACATTGCAGCACTAGGTGCAAAAGGAGCACAGCATGCAGACCACCTTAATGAGCTGAAGTGGTCTGGGTGCCTACAGTGTACCTTTAATTAATTGGATAGGATTCATTCTGCTCCTCTGCACCTTTGCAAAGAGACTAAATCTCCCCTTCTTTCACTGTATATCAACCTTTTTAGGTCAAACTTCATTTTTGTATTCTGAAAGCCATGAAAGAGGGCAATAAGATTACCAACTTTATCTGACTTCTCTGGAAAAATGAAGTATTTTAATTAGATGTAATGATCCTTGCAGCATTCTACTTAGAGATGCACCGTCATTAAAAAACACTGGCCATGAGCTCAGTAAGATTTTCGTTTTGTAATCAAGGAGTTTAATTAATAGAAGCTAGCTTGTATTTATTATTTGTGTTTCCAAATTTATGAAACACAATATGGAATAAATTAAGTACATGGCTAGAAAGGTCACACAATTAAATTCAATTTATTAAAAAGGGCTTGACTTATTTGTTTAATTTGTTGTTTAAAACAGGATTTAGAATGTTTTCATACTTTATATGAAAACTATATTGTAGTCAAAAATTAATTTGTTTTAGAGGCAAAACTGTGAATCAAAATATGAAAAAAATATAATACTGGTTTGAAGCAGTTATTTAGTCATCAAACCAGGGATTGTACAGAATCAGCACAAAAAATTGGTCAAAATGTTTGGTCAAATTAGCTGAAATGTTACATTTGCTGAGAAATATATTTTTGGTGATGCGTCTGTTTTGCCTAAACTCTACATGTCGCTTGTCAATTCTCCTCATTTAGTCAATAAACTCACTTTTCAACCTCAATTCCGCACGTTTCTTTATTTTCAGATATAATGATTGGGCCACACTAAACAACACGTCTTCCACTCCACTGACACGGTGTATTGTTGGGGAGGAAATTTTACTTATTGTATAGAACAATCATGAAGCTTTAATGGACAGTCAGTGTGAGCTTTATATTCCCTGAAAAGGTCATATGACAACAATGCTTTGATAGAAACATAGGAATGTCAATCACAACATAATAGGACAAAGTGTGTGTTTGTTACGTGATTCTGTGAACTCGTGTGATCACATGATTCTAATTATTCCAAGGTTCTAAATACACCTATTTCAGGTTACTTTGCATAAAACAAAGACTGCAATCAGCTGCCAATACCTTAACTGATTACAGAACTGAGAGATGAATTTTTAGAAGCATGCGCTATGGAGACACCTTATTGAAAATATATTTGCTGCTTGGCTCTACCATCAGCATGCCTTTCTCCTACATGCTGTGATGGCAGGATGACATTAGGGAGGAATTGTCTCATGAAGATGACAGAACATATAAGAAGCTCTTGGTGTATATCCCATAAAGTACCTGGGTAAAATACTTCTCTGAGAAGGCACCTGCATCAAATGAAAGTCATCACATCTGATGGATGCTGGAGGTGTTGCAGCCAGACTACGATGTATTATCATCAATGGTGGACATATCCCAGGTTGTGGCCATACTGGATTTAGGAAGCTTTGTGGCTCTTTGGATAGAATGAATCACCTTGATCAGACTTTCTCTTCTCCAGCCTCATTAAAGGTTTGAGGAGGACTGAAATTAAACTTAACTCTAAAGTGGCAAACAGAAGAGCATTATCCCAACATTGGAACAACCAATGCTACCATACCACAATAAAGTTCCCAATATGCTTCCTGAGCTTAGGGATGGCAAGAGACAACTGCATGACTCCAAACATTAATATTACAATATATAACAAATACAAGCTACAAGAAAGGTAGATAAAACAAAAGGATGGTCTAGAATATTTGAAACACCATAAAGTGCGCAAATATGGTGTTCAGGACATCACAAGTAGTGATGTCCCGAACGGTTGGCCGAACGGTTCGCGAATGGTTCGCCACGGTTCGCCACGAATAGTTCACCACGGACTCCAGTCAGCAGACACATTCCAGCCAATCAGTAGCAGACCCTCCTTCCCAAACCCTCCCATCTCCTGGACAGCATCCATTTTGAAGCTGCATTCTTACTGAGCTGTCCAGGAGGTGGGAGGGTCTGGGAGGGAGGGTCTGATGCTGATTGGCTCGAATGTGTCTGCTGACTGGAGTCCGCAGCGAACCGTTCGTGGCGAACTGTTCGCTAACCATTCATGGCGAACTGTTCGCGAACCGTTCGTGGCGAACGGTTCGCGAACCGTTCGGTGAACCGTTCGAGACATCACTACTCACAAGATGAGATAAAATTGCAGACATAAAGAGGTTTCTTTAAAATTCAATGAAGATCATAGTGCACCAGTATAGAAGATGACAAGAACATTTATTCAAGTTGCGCTCACAAGATATGAAGTAAAATGCCAGCGTATCAAAAATCTCAGGTGGCACTCTTCCTGGATGTGAAGATTTGATGCAGCAGGAATAAAATAAAATAAAACACTTAAAAGTAAAAATGATACTCAAAACAAAAAATAATAATAAAATATAAAGCCAGAACAATGAAAACAAGTTGATAGGTGTTGCCTCGGTGTCTCCAGGCACTCTTCCTGGATGTGAAGATTTGATGCAGCAGGAAAAGTGTTGCCTCGGTGTCTCCGCCCGACGCGTTTCGTCCTAAGTGAGGACTTCCTAAGGGGAAGTCAAGGTATAACGTGTACTCTCTTAAGTCTGCTTTTTAAATGGTAAGAAAGTGAGTTCCCGCTGTGTGGGTGCCAATTGTGTAAAATCTCCATAATTGTGTCCATCTGTGTTCACTTACATGGGGCTTCCGGGTTCCAAGCTTTGTTTTCAAACTTGTTTTACACGTTGAGTGGCTGACCAGGAGATATCCTTAAACTCTCTGGAAATTGGAGGGGAGGTTAAGGAGGGATTGGAAGATACCTAGCGCTGCCTTCTCCAGAGGTCCAGGTCCCTTTTGTAAGATCGGAACTAAACCACCGCAAAGCTGGAACTCCTGGCCAGATCGGAGACTAGTAGTGACCTGGTAAAACTTTAACACTCTGTAATTTGTGCATGGAATCTCTGATCAAGGTGCTATTTTAACAGTGAGGGCATCCGGTGACAAGCTTTCCAGGGACATATAATGTGGTGGTACAGTCCAGGGAAAGGTTTTTTTTTGGTGAGTGCACAGCAGGGAGCTGATTGTGTTAGCTGCTGAAAATGTAATTAAGTCCCCAGGCACAGTTGTGCCGGGGAGGGACAATAGTACTGTTTATTGCATTGTATGGCGGCCACCTGCAGAGAGAGTCAACACTGTGTATAAATAACTGTGCACTGTGCAATAAAATCATTCTATCCTCTATATTCAGACAAGTCTTATGTCTGGGGGAAAACCTGTAGTAAAGCGATAATCACTGCTCTTCATGAGAGAGGGTCTCCTGCAGCCTGGTCCAGACACCAAATATAGAGGCCCCTTTTTTTTCTTTCATGGTTACATTTCAAACAGTGATCTGGGGAAAAGAAAAGCTTGAAGGGACACTCCAGGCACCCAGACCACTTCTGCCCATTGGAGTGGTCTGGGTGCCAACTCCAACTACCCTTAACCCTGCAAGTGTAATTATTGCAGTTTTTTATAAACTGCAATAATTACCTTGCAGGGTTAACTCTACTAGACAGCCACTAGTGGGCACTTCCATGTCTCTAGCACAGATTTTCTGTGCTAGAGCGTCGATGGACATCCTCACGCTGTGTGAGGACCTCCAGCGTCGCTCAATTCCCCATAGGAAATCATTGAAAAGCATTTTCAATGCTTTCCTATGGGGAGCTCTAATGCGCATGTGCGGCATTGCCACGCATGCCCATTAGGTCTCCCTGGCCGGCTGGCGGGATCAGTCTCGCCCACCAGCCAACGTAATGCAGAGGAGGAGCAGCGGCGGAGGAAGAAGCAGCGACGTGGGACATGTTTTCCGACACGGATTGTTTTCCTGGCACTGGAGTTTCCCTTTAAATGGTATAATAACATTACGTGGGAAGCCTCCACCATATACATCCAATTGGAGCTCTCACCTTATTAAATTACACTTGTACTTAATTTGATTCAATGACTTGTATCAGCCCCACAGTGTGTCTCACAGTGCGAGGAGTGAATGAATATTCCAATAGTTTTCCAAACTTTATTTCCATCCAGGATTAAAGTCTGAAAGAGACTTTGAGAAAGCCCACCCAGGGAAAAACCCTTAAGTCATGTGCCGACATTACGTACCCAACGTCCAGGGGAGAGGAGGATCGAGCAGCAACATTGGTGGACCTGCAAAAAGAGATCATAACTACCCCACAAACTGTGAGCCGGCTAGATATAGCTATATAAATGTATAACTGTATAGTTTTTATCTATTTTTATTGTTTGTTTTAATCCTGGATGGAAATAAAGTTTGGAAAACTGCTGGAATATTCATTCACTGCTCGCAGTGCTTGAAAGAAAAAAAGGGGCCACAATATTTGGGGTCTGGACTGTACAACCCTGGAATTTCTATGCTGAACAAGTTCTACCTACATCTTTACTCTCTAATTTGAGAGCTTTCTAGAATTGTGCGCTAACTCACTGTTTAATATACAAAGCATTTGTGTGTTTTACACATGGGGGAATAAGAGGACAGCGACACATATTATATAAGATATAATATCCTTTATATATAATTCTTAAAGGGAAAGCACCTCAGATTAACATCTATTTGTCTTTTCAGCTTATGTAACTATGTAACTAGATAGACTGGCAGTCAGATCTGGCCTCCCAAGTGTCGCAATTTAGTCAATATAGCCCCAATTTTGAGGTCTTGTCCAGCCATTCCACATTTGTTTCCTGGTGTTCTATATCTGGGGACACCAGGGAATGGTCTCCAACCTGTAGTTAAAGACAGTCAATCTCATTAAACATGTTGGTGTCATCTGCAATTAAGCACCGGAGCTATTAACCCAACTGATATTCAAAGCGCATCTTCCCTTTGACATTCCCATTGAATCTTTATGATCTAATTGAAATGCACGTTGATGTTTTACGCATTGTTAATAGTCCTGTGTCTCCGTTGATTTAATTTAACAAAGGTGTGCCTCTTACTTCTAATTAACCAACATGTTTCTAATAAGTTCCTAATTAACAAACCTGCTAATACTTTTCTTCTAGTTAACACACAACTAATTTTCCCTCCGCTGACATTTCCATTATTCATTTCATCCTTCATAACTCCTGCATCTGTTCTTTAATATTTTTATTCCACATGTGCCCTATTTTCCAACTCTGGACTTCATTTAATATTTTTGGATAAGCTTTTAAAATCACAATCTGTTAAAAAAAACTTTCCAAATGGTTTGTTTACAGAAGCCGCCATTAAAAAGACACTGTTCTTACTAAAAAACTTTAGCTAATGAAGCAGTTTTGGTGTATAGATCATGCCTCTGCAGTCTAACTGCTCAATTATCTGCCATGTAGGAGTTACATCACTTTTTTATTACTGTTCATGCAACCCTAGACACACCTCCCGTGGCTGTGACTCACACATCCTACATGCAAAAAGTAGTTTAATTTTCAAGCAGATGTCAACTTACTTTAGAGGTTTTTATATGCTGCTCTGTAAATTAAACTTTAATCACACACAAGAGACTCCTGCAAGTTCTAGAACGTTATTAACAGAGCAGGAGACAAGAAATTCTAAATAAAAGAGACTGTGCATTGAGGGAAGTTTAAACATTAGATGACTCTTTACAGGAAGTGTTTAGGAAAGCTGTGCACGTTGCATGCAGGGAGGTGTGACTAGGGTTCATAAACAAAGGGATTTAACTACAAGATGGCAGAGAATTGAGCAGTGAAACAACGGGGACAATCTACACACTAACACTTTTTCATTAACCTAAAATTATTTTGGTGACTAATGTGATACTTTTGGCCCACACCGCCTGCTCATGGGTGAGGTCCGGGGGGGACTCTAGGTCCCCTGTTCAATTTAATAGCCCCCACTCCTGCAGCCTCAAGTGGGGGCTCGGGAGGGGGGACACTATGTCCTCCCCACGTTCATAAGTTCAATAGAAGTGGGGGTCTTTTTTTTTTTACAACAGTGAGCAGTCACTGGCTGCTCACTGCTTACCAGACATGCCCCTACTTGCGATATAGCGAGTAGGGGCAGAATTTACAAATACTAAGTAATCTTTACTTAGTATTAGTAAATTTGACTGAAAGACCAATCTTGGTCTTTCAGCCTTTTGGTGGATAGCTCCCTGATACCGTGGGAATGAAATTTAGAACCGGACTAAAAGTACCGAATGTCCTCCTAACATGAATGAACAAACCTATTCTCATTCTGTTAGGACGAAATTCATTAGTTTTGCTCGAGTCCTGTCTAAATGACAGGACGTTCGGGAATACTGACAGGAAGCATCGGAAGATCACAGAGGAAGGTGAGAATTGTGGGAAATTGCTCTAACCCACAGAAAATATTACAACAGACACAGAATACAGTAATTGGTGTAGATGACTGTAGACATATGTACAATGTAAGTGACTGGTAAGATAGTGTATATCACAGTACACAAAGTTACAATACCTGAAAATGTGAATATTGCTACATTCTAGACTTTCCTCAAATTAATCACTATATCGGTCTGATTTAAGTTTTTAATTTGCAGTAAAATTTTTTTTACCTTTTTAAGCAACATATGGTGAACATTTGTGCATCTGTTATTTAGATAAAATAATTCAGAACTAGGTATGCTTCTAAACACAATCCAAGGTGGTCCTAATCCAGATAAACAATTTTGTTATTTTTAGTGAATTCAAGAAAAAAGGTCACCTAGCTTGAAAAGTAACCCATAATCCTTTGCTTCCTTAGACTCTCTGAACATATAGCTCTTTAACAGTGGAACTAAACTATTTCCTGCCATTAAAGATTATGCTTTAACATTAATTTTCACTTCAATAGACTGTGAATCCTTGGAGTTTACATTGCTGTAATTAAAACTGGGAGATGTTGTGGTGCCTTAATGCATTTATCTTGTATTAAATTGTGTATACCAGTCACAAAGCATGTCGGAGAGAGTTTTACATTAGCACAGTAGTTTGTCCTTGAAACAATATTGTTAAATGCAAGAGTAACGACACAAGTGGGTTAGTCTCT